TTTTGCTACTGCTTCTTGGAAGATTAAACTTGTCTCTATTTGTTTATGCGCCAGTTTGTATTTATTTATGTTTAGTTTCTCTAAGACTCCATAGTCTATATAGCTACATTCTTGATTGTTTAGAACTTCCTTTATTCTAAGTACCTCTTCAGGATTTACTGTTTAGTTTTTGTCAGCATTTTTAACTCTAAGGAACTCTAACCGGTCATATAGCTCAATCATATTTTTAAAGAGACATATTAGCTGTAGTTCTGTTCCCACTATTTTAGCTACCTCTCTGTCTTTTCTTAAAACTTTGTTTTTATATTTATTCTTAACTGTATTAAATTCCTCTGGGGACTTTCCAAAAAGGTTTTTGTATATTTCTATTTTTTGCTCCTATTCTACTTTAGAGGATGATACTTAATATTTGTTTGTCACATGCATGCCAACATAGTTTATGTGACTAAGTTGTTTTTTAAATGCTATTTTGTATTCCCTGCATCTATTCGCAAATAGTGATATACTTGTTTGTTTATTCGTTTACCTGTACTTTGTTTACTGTCACATGCAGTGATTTACGTTACAGGGTCTAGAGCAATTCCCCAAATTTTCAAAAACTATCTGCCAAAAATACAGAAACCTAAAACTAAAGTGCTTTCTTGTTCGTTTTCTTTCAAACTTGGTATACTAATATATCTTTCTATACTCTATCTTTTTTAATATGACCTGAAGCTATACTATCTAATACTTTTGTGTCGTAAAAGTAGTTTTCTTCTCTTCAAAATTTTGGTGCAGATGATTATCAGAAAGAGTTGTATATAAGCAACTATATTTTCTTTTCTTATAATTTAAAAATAAATATTACTATTTTGTAATCCTTATTTTCAAATATTAATATGTAAAATTTTTTTAAAATATTTTAATATTTAATAAAATTAGATTAGATACAACTGTTTATAAATTTTAGCAGCTATATTTGGCTGCTAAACCTGACAGTTTAAGGGATAGATTTTCATTATTCAACACACATTTTTGTAAAATTTTCATTAAACTATTCATATAGTGATTAAGATTTTTATTTGATTTATTATTGCAATTAAGCATCACTACAATTATTAGAAAACCATAATGCATAAGCATATTTCAATATTATTAATATTGACTTTTATCTAAAATATTATTGAAATTACTTACACTATTTTGATCACTGTAAAATCACATCTAGGTTGATGCTTGAGAACACTAAGTATAAAAAAATTTTTTGTTGTTTTTTGAAGAGTAGGATCTTGCTTTTATCTTTATTGAATAATATTAGTTTAATATTACAAATTTGTAATTTAAACTATAGTATTTTATAGACTTATAGCTCTGGCTTAAATAAAAAAACTATAAAATCTAATGCATCATTCATGTATTGTGTAATAAAATTTGCTGCTCATGGCAATTAAAAAAATCAAAAAATAAATAATATTGAGTACAATAAATTTATTCAAATTAGAGATGTGATTCAGATATCTGCCAGTTTATTTTTATAATAAAATTATTATAAAGGTCTAAATCTTTGTTAATTTTAAATAGAAAAACAGATAACAGATTACATTTTCAACATCTCATATTTGAATATTAATTTAGAAGATAACATGAATTCTTGCTCCATATAAAGTTCCAATTCAGATTAATCTGTCATCTATTTATTCTATAAGCTATATCTGGATATCTAGTTTTTTTTAATTCAGATATCTGAACAGATTATCCGAATAATCTGATCAAAGTTATATAATTCTGGTACTATTTGATTTATCTTATCAAGACAAATTAAATAGTGCCAAAATCATATAATTCTGATCAACAATTTGACTTTTTGAAAAAAATTTTTTTGTCAATTTTATTTCAAATATAATAGTATTACTACTTGAAGAGCTCTATGCTTTAATAGACTATTTTAATTTATATGGTTAACAATATATGTTATTCTATGAATACTATACATGGGTGACTAAATTATTTTTGAAAAATCATATTTTCAGCAAATATTTTGCTATTTTATCAACAAACTCTTTTTGAAAAAACTACTTATCCAGCAACTATTCACCATCCCAACAACAATTCATCTACAACACAACTACTTATCTAACAACTACCTAACTAGCAGTTACAATCTTGAGAATTACCTCATTCTTGATAGTTACCCTTTCTTGATAACCACTTTTTTTCAAAACCACTAGTCATATTATCAACACAAATACTTTCTCAACAATGCTTTTCTAACAATCTATCTTTATAGCATTCCCAACACACTACCAAAATATTATAATTATTTTCTGGCATATTTATAGATGAAAAAATAAGAAGCTTGCTATTTACTACTACTGGTAATCATCACCAGTGTTGCTATATCTCAAAAACATACTAAGTAAACAGGATCAAGTTCTCTAGATAAAAATGTTCAGGATCTCCAAAAACCTTATAAAAACTGAGATCAGGCTCTATTGGGCCCTTATATTAGCTCTATAATATATTATATAAAAAATAATAATTCTCTAATTTCTAACCCTAACTCTAACAAATCTTAGAACTGGTGATAATCACCACTAGCGATAAGTAGTAATTTTTAAAAAATAAATAAATTATTATATTTAAAAAAATCTGGTTAAATTAAAAACAGACTAAAATATAAATTATTTAAAGTTAAATAAGAAAAAAAATTAAACTTTAAATTTAAAATTCAAAAATTTTGCCAGCTAAAATTTTAAGATTATATATAATTTGAAGTTTATATATAATCTTAAAATTTGATTGGCTAGTAATTTTTTTAATATATATTAATTCAATATATTAATTTAACCTATTTTCTAAATTAATTCAAAACCATTTTTAATTTTTTAATTTAAAAATTTTTTAGATTCTTTTTTTTTTTTAATATAAACATGTTATTTTTTTATTAATCATTTATTTTATAATCATTTTTTATTAATATTAGATATTAGTTACAATTATATCAGGAAAAGTTGAGTAGTTTGTCAGAAATAGCTATAAGAATAGTGTATTAATAGAGTTGTGGTACAGAAAAGGTGGTATTGATACCAGGGAAAAGTGGTACTAGAAAGGGTTGATGTTGAAAATAGATAGTTATTGGGGAAGAATGATATTGAAACAGATGATATTGGGGAAAAGAAGAGTTGTTATTTGGAAAGAATAGTATTGGGGAAGGGTGGTGCCAGAAAAAGGTTGTCATCAGAAAAAGGAAGATTAGATTAGTTATAGTTAAAAATGACAAGATTACAAAATTAATGATCTTTCTGCCACTTTGATATATAATACAAAATTTATATCATTATCATTATACAGTATTAAAATTATTAACAATAGATATATTAATGAACTATCAAGATACACCATTTGAGTAACAGGAAGAGAAAAACCTGTAAATTATTTTATTCATTGTCATCATAGTAAATTCTATCTTTAAGAAGTTGTAATAATAATGAATGAAGTGATTTACAGGTTTGCTTCTCCCAGAACTCATTTAGAATCTTTGCAGTAATCTTTATTTTAATCTATTATTGCAATTGATCATCACTACATAATTGTCAAAAAATCATGATAACAGTAATATTTGAGCATATCTCAATAATATTGACATTTATATTATTACATTAGCTAAAAAATACTCTATAAAACTTTGCACTATTTCAATCACTATGAAATTGCATCTAGGTTGATGCTTGAGAATACTCTTTATTAGTTAATTAAGTATCAGAATTTTGATATAATTTTAGAGTTTCAGACTTTTGGATAATAAATTTAGGCAAGTTTGGCAGGAGAACTATGCCCAAAACTGGTAATACCAGTTTCAGTTTTGGTCAATCCGAAACTATGAAGTTTTGGGCAGCATCAAACTTATTACATTCTGAGTTATCAAATTACTAACATCAAATATTAATTATTTTTTTAATCGTTATACTAACCATTACATAATCAACCATTAGATTAGCTGCTAGATCAACCGTTAAATCAACTGTTGGTCCATTATATTGACTGTTATATCATAATTTATAACATTTATTACATCAACCATTATTATATTATAATATTCATTAAATCAACTGTTATTTCAACCGTTATATCAATTGTTATATCAACTGTTACATCAATCATTAGATCAACTGTTATATCAACCGTTAGATCAACCATTACATCAATTTATATCAACCGTTAAATCAACCGTTATATTATATAATAATAACACATATCAAATTAACCGTTAAATCAGCCGTTAGATCAACCGTTAGATCTTAACTGTTATATTATTATTATATAATATCTATTACATCAACAACCGTTAAATTAATATGCACTCCTTGCATTAATACTTGCTCCTTGCATTCATCCGGATAATTTATCGGATAATCCGGTTATCCATCCATTTATCCATTTGATATCCGGATATCCATGGATAAATGGACAAATGGAGAATGGATTGGAACTCTAGCTCTGCGTAAATAATAGTATCAAGGTTAAACTAAGCTTCCGCTTAGATAGTATTATAAAGATTAAATTAAGCTTCCACGGTTTAGGTCCGTTTGGAATAATTACATAAAAATTAAACTAAGCTTTCACATCTCTGAACAATAATATAAAGAATAAATTAAGCTTCCGCCAGATCGTTTGGAAAAGTAATGTGATGATTTCTGCCATTTACATAATTAATTATAATTTTATTATTTTTTTCAATTTGTACTAAATTTAGTACAGAAGGCTAACGGATACCCATTAAGGAAATGAATCACCAAAAAAATAACATACTCAGGATCAATTAGATTATTATTGATTGGAAATTGTACGGGTTCACCGTTAAAAAGCTCATCAATTTTAGTAACTCCTTAGATTTTTTGTGAAAGAAAAAATGTTATTAAACATATAAATCCAAAGCATTGCATTAATCATACAATTTATTAAAATTGAAAAAAAATCATTACTAACCTTGATATTTTAATGGATTTTGCTGATTGTTTTCAGAATATTTTTTATCAACATCGTCAGTTTCTGTAATTTGAACTATTTGACTTACGATAAATTCAACGTCTGTTTCTGTTGATAATTTTTCGAGTACTATGGAAACTTCTTTAAGTGTTGGGCGTTTTTTTTGGTCTGAAGACCAACAGCTCTTATAAAGAATGGAATAATCTTGAGGTGTATTAGTGATAATTTCTTCTCTACCATGATTTGCAATTTTTAGCATTTTGTCCGTAAAAGATAAATTATAAAACAGGGGAGTTCCACTCGTGAGTTCCCAGAACAACACGCCTAGACTGTAAATATCGGACTTCTCGTTATGCTTAAAGCTTTTTTCATACAGAAAATATAGTGGATCAACATATGTTATCATCTCTTGTGTATTTGAGTTAGAATAATCAAGCTGTTTAGCTAAGCCAAAGTCTGAAATCAAGACTCGTTCATCATTTATTAAAACATTTTTAGAATGCTAAAGAAATTTTGCAGAAATATTTTAGAATTATAAAGGGAATTTAATGTAGCAATTAAATATTCTAATTTACCAAGCCCCGATGAATAATTCCATTAAGATGTAAATTATCCAATCCATTAGTTATCTCTTTCGCAATTTGTATGATTTCAACCCATGTAATTTTATAAAGGCCATTATTTTGTTTTGCATGTAAATAATCCCGCAAAGTTCCGCCGTTTGCATATTGTAGCACCATTATGAAGTTGCCCAGCTTTGGATCTAAATATAATATGAGTAAACGAATAAATATATATTTATTTAAATATTAAATAACTGTTATACCTCTTGATATTCCATAAAATTTAACGACATTAGGATTGTCAATATTAGAAAGACTTTTAAGCTATATGATTAATTTTGAGTTAGAATCTATACGAAATTAAATTATCGGCAAATGTTGTGAGCCATATATTTTCGAAATGAAACACAATCATTTGGTGATGACTTGTAAGTATGGCTATAATGCCATCATTGGATCATACTTGATAAATACATAAAATCCAGAAATAAGCACTACACTCTCTACCCCAGTGTTAATATCTAATTCTCTCAATGTTCTCAAGAAAATTCAAAAAAAATTTGAGAACACTGCATTTAAAAATTATGTTCTCTTTGAGAAAAAATTGAGAACATAAATTTCATAATTTATGTTCTTATGAAAATTTTATAATTATGTTGTATTATATTATTTTACCCTGTTGTACTTAAAGATGGGAAAATGCGCATGAATCATGAGCATTAAAAAAAAAAGGAAACAATTCCTTAAAAGGTTTACCGTAAACATAAAATTATAAAATTTTTCTCAAAAGAACAAAAAAAAAAAGATATTTTTTCATTGTTCTGTACTATTTCTCATTCTCAAGAAATAGCAATCCTCACTCCAAGTTATTCTCGACAGTCTGAGATTTAAAGAATTGGAGTAAAGGATGTGAAGTGCTTATTTTTCGGAGTTTACACAGCAACACGTAATCTAATTCTGCCATACCCTAACTAGCTGGCCATGGTGTGTCAATGCTGTTCATAACTTTATTGAAAAGTGTATCTCTAATAATTTCCAAATTTGTAGCGGGCGTGCACTATAAGTGCTAATTTTTTATATTACCTCACTAACGAATATTCTGATAATTCCTTCATCTATGCGCAAATTCTTGTTTAGGCTTTTTAATGCGACCGTTCTTTCTTGGAAAGTTGTTGAGTATACCGTAGCGAATCTCCCACTCTCAATAAACCTAATGTCGCTAAACTGCGAATAATCATAGCTTTTTACATTACATTCTAGAAAGTATCTTTCTAAACTCTCTGAACGTTCAGAAACTATTGAAAAATATTTATGACGTTAATATATGATATTAAATTTAAATCATTATAATACACACATAAATCAGGTACTTGGGTAAGTTTCAAAGGCTTTTCATAGGTTTTTTTTGATTTTTTAGGAACCCTCCTTTTTTGTAGATCAGATATACATATGAGTTTTTTTTCGGCGCATCGTCTGCATCCATCATTATCTATATATTGACATTTAATTTTTAACTCTCTACAACCATTACAAGATATGCTCACGTTCTTACGGACTATAGATATAGGTAGCACATTGGATTGCACATTTTCTGACGATGTATAAGACTGATGCAATCCGCTCCCCTCCCTTTCTAGAACTTGGAAAACTTCGTATTCTTCTACTGAAAAATACTCCTCAGTGTTTCTGATTTTTTTGTCATAACACCAGTGATAACATTGGCATTCACAATCGTCTTTAAAGTTTTTTTGATAATCGTAAATCACCTTGAAAATATGGCCCATGGCATTTCGACGATTTAATCGATTCACTATGTTTCGCTCTACTAATAATAGATTTATCTGGCTTATTATAATTCAAACTAAAAACGAAACTTTTTTTTTTGTGTAGTAATATTTATCTTCCTCTGGCGATTCCCAATTAAAAGGATTATATCCACCTAAAATTTCGTCTTTGCCTTTAACTTTTAAGACTGTCAACGTCGGTCCTTTATAATCACATTTATTATGGAAAATTGTGGGAGTAAATCCATCGAGGCTACCTTTAATAAGCAACTTGAAATCGTATCTTTTGTCTTTTGTTTGAAAAAACTTTGTAATATTGCTTTTCCCAGATCCTTGATCAATCCATTTAGAAACAAGATTAAAATGATCCGGTTTTATTAAATATTCTTCTGAATCGTCTTGTGAATTGGACTTTGAGTCTTCCGGACAAATCGAAGGAAACATAGATTCATAATTGGAATCTCCTGATAGTTGTTGAAGGATTTCGAATACTTCCTGAATATTTGGTCTACTTTCAGGCTCCTCAACCCAACAACGTTGAAACAGTTTAACATATTCTTCTGGTATACCTTCCACCGGAATTTCCCTTAATCCTTCAGAAATCATCCGTTTTTTTGCACATTCATTTAGACACAGTTCGAAAGGTGGATGGCAGCTTAGAATTTCCCATAGAAGAACTCCAAAACTATAGACATCAGATTTTTCATTAAGCACATAATTACAATCGGCCAGACATTTTGGATCCATATAAGTGGACACTAATTTATCTGTCTTATCGGTTTTATCGGTTTGTTCAAGACTAGTGTCAATAGCAAGATAAGCATACCGTTCAGCACCAATAGTGAATGGTTCCGGAGCAAGTTTAAAAGAAATGTTTTGAACAGTAAAATTTGAATTAATAAAACGTTTATCCATATCAGAACTTAATTTTGCTATTGGCATAGTAATCGTTTTTGGTATACTAAAATCTATCAGAATTTTGCCATCGTGCACTAAAACATTTTTAGAATGCTATGAGAATAAAAAAAATTTAAGCTCGCTATTATAACTACGCTTTTAAAATTTCTTAGTAATGAATTGTAAATCTTACGAGATTCTTATGTATGACTTTATCCTGACTCTCATGCAAATGTATAATGCCTTTAGCAATTTCTTTTGCAATGTGTAATTTATCATCCCAGGTAAGTGGTTTAGAATTTTTCTTTAAATAATCTCTTAAGTTACCATCACATCATTGGCATATTGAAATATTAAAAAATATTGGTCGTTACTAGAATCTTTAGCTACTCCATAAAATTGATTAATATTTGGATGAAAATATTTCATAATAGTGGACAGTACCCGAAGCTATATATTTCATATATCATATAAGCATAGTACATAAAGAAAAGTTTAACTAGCAACAAAAAATATATCACAAACCTCTTTTGCAATGGCAATTTGACGATCTAATTCATCAAGTTTCAGACTTTTTAATGCGACTGTCAATCCAAAGTTATGCCAGTATGCTTTTATCATTCGGCAGAATCCATCTTCAACGATTAATTTGACGTTCTTGAATTCACTATAGTCGTAAAGCTGAACTTTGAATTCTTTGATTATTTTGTCAATGAAATTCATATTTAGTGAAAATCGGTAGAAATTGTGCACATTCTCCTTTATATTTAAAACTGTCGTACTACAAATAGGATATAAAAGGAATATATGGGCATAACCATATCGATATCGATTTGTCTGAAGCGCAGCGGAGGACGCTCTATTCTACGCCAAACCATGCAAGGTCCGTTAGCAGCACCCAATCACAGTACTTATGCTGGTTACACGGCATATTATTTAAAACAAAACATGTTGCTTCGGACGTCTATCAGCTCCTGATAACCTAGTATATAATACTGAATATAAAGGGAAATGATAGCGATGGTTATCAATATTTAAATCGGCAAAGAGCTACATTCACAAATTTTCCTTCCACTTTTTACAAATAACAAATTTGACCAGACAAAATCAATTAGTGATCCTATTGTAATTTCGACAAATTAAATATGAATTGGCGAGTTTTTCGCATTTTATACGAGAAATTGAAATATTAATTGTTATTTAATCAGAAGATTCATTAATACGATAAACGAAAAAAAATAGAAATAAAGTAAAAAAATAAGGATATGACACAGCCATTGAGTAATTTGCTCAATAAATACTATGAACTCTTTAAATATAACGTGTGAGTATTGTAATAACTCAATTAATATGGAATTGTTATATTAACGCAATAAATTTTTATGACATTAGTAATTGAACATTTAAGTATGACAAAAACATGCTTAGAAAAAAATAATATAAAAAAGCTAGACTGTTCACAATTTAATGACAAAAAACCTATTGGTAATGGAGGATCCGCAACAGTATATTCCGCAACTTTCCAAGGAAAAATATATGCATTAAAAAGCCTTAATAATAATCTTTGTATGAATGAAAAGACTTTCCGGAAATTCATTCGAGAGGTATTATATTCTGCCGTTATTTAAGTACTTTTTTTATAATATTGTAAATCCCATCGTAATAAAATAAACGTTTGTAGCTTGAAATTCTTTCTAAGACTTGCCATCGTAACATTATCAAACTTTATGGAGTTTCAATTGGTAAGACATTTAAATTTGAAAAATTATTTCGAATAATGCTTTCACCTGCCAATCTTAATTCGATGTATTTAGATCCAGGAACAGATAATTTCATGATGGTATTGCAATATGCTAATGACGGATCCCTACGGACTTATTTACAAACAAAGCAAGATAATGGTCTTTATAAAATCTCATGGAGCAAACTCATTCAAATTGCGAATGATATGGTTAATGGGCTGAAATTTCTGCACGATAAAAAAATCATTCATCGGGATTTGGTAAATTATAGTTTTAATTTTTATACTGGATTTTTTTCTGTTATCGGCTCTAGCCATTTACTGCAAAATTTTTCTAGCATTCTAAAAATATTCTGATAAATGATGGTTGGGCCGTTATTTCGGATTTTGGAATATCTCAAGAGTTTGATGATATCTCTTCATGCTCAAATATACAAGGAATGATAGAATATACTGATCCTCATTATCTCCTGAATCCAAAAACATTTAAACGCAATGAAAAATCGGACATTTATAGTTTAGGAGTATTATTTTGGGAACTTACGAGTGGAATTCCTCCATTTAATAATCTATCTTGTGTAGAAAAAGTGTTACAAATTTCAAAACATAATAGAGAAAAGGTCATTGCTAATACACCTCAAAGTTATGTTAATCTCTACCAAAAATGTTGGTCTTCTGATCCAGAACAGCGCCCAACACTAAATCAAATTTTAGAGACGCTTAAAAAATTATTAACGGAAACCGAAATCGAATTTATTACAAATTTTGCCTATTTCGAAAAAAAAGATCGATTATATTTAAATCGCGGAAAACACACTATTCTTGATGAATTTAATATTAATAATATAAAAAATATTGAAATAAATAGGAGAGAATCTGTATCAAATGATACAGATTACGGAATGACTACTCTCTCTGGAGTCACCGACAAAGTAAAGATTAATATTTTAAAGTATGTTCGTTTTCCAAATAGCTTATTAGTTTTCAAAGTCTGGCACCAATTCTTTAAACGAAGTGAGATTAGAGCCAAATGGATAATTGATCATTTCGGCAAAGCTCATGCATTATTTCACGCCATTCGCCTCGGGCCGAATTTTATTAGTGTTTCTGTAGTCCAAAAAATTATTGAATTGGGAGGGATTATATCTAGATACTTTGTTCAAAGGCTTTCGCAAATCGAATATAATGTGAGGAATATCGAGCAACCTCGAAGAGTAGAAAAACACAGTGCTGTGCCTTGGGGTAGCAATACACCTCTTGATGTATTTTACTAAAAGCGTCGAAAACATTAAACCCTACTAATAAATCAGAATCTTATGCCGATTTAGCAGTTAAGGGTAATGATATGGAATCTTTTCATTTTCAAAGTGGAGGAAGTTATGAAATTATTCAGGCTAGAAGAGAACTTGAATATAATTTAGGATCCATTAAAGAATTAATTATTAAATGGAAGTTCATACCGTTTCCGCCAAGACCTAAAAATAAGCAGCCTTATGATTATAAAAACATGAAAGAATATCCCTCAAAAGATGGATATGAAAACTACAGACAATTAAATATCGTCGCTCGAGCAATATTGATTCATAAAGATTTGGTTAATTCATGGAAAGAAATTGGCTATTATGACATCCTAGACGACGTTAATGATCTTGTGATACAAGGAGCATTGCTATTATTATTTCCACCGGCTCCGGCTAATATGCCAACTGTTAATGAAATAATCGATAGGCTCAAAGAATTGCTTGATTTTGGATTTAAGCCAACAAATACGGCCATACTTAATATTTTGCAGTCTTTTGAAAGCCGGCTAGATCTTATTGGCAAGAAAATTATCTATTCATTTATTTCAATTCGCAAAAATGAAAATCGCGATGAATTTTACAAAAAAATTGTTACCGAGGTTATTAAGCCAGAATGTCATATCGAGAAATTTGATGTTCTAAACTTTTTAGATGAAAATATCGGCAGCGAAAGTGGGCTCATCTTTTTGGATGTGATGAGAAAATTCAAAGAAAGAACATCATCTTATGCTAGTCCCATCCCAATTGATTATATGCAAATAAATCTGTGAAATCCACCACCGCTTATAAGTCCCTGTCGTTTAACTTAATTTTTTATAATTGGGCTCTCTTTAAATTCTCGGAATTTTCGGAGATTGCTT